ATCTTCAAATATATACAACACATTTTAGAAAAGCTTACGTACTCAATAAAAGAATTTAATCTGTTTACAAAAATATTGTAAAACTATTATACAAAAATATTATAAAACTTTATTGTTAAATATTATAAAACTGTTTACAAAAATATTGTAAAACTTTATTGAAGAAAACGAGTTTTCTGAGAGAACCTGAGTCGAAATTTTGATCCTACTTTCAGCGTCACTATACCATTCAACACCTATTTTGATATTCTGAAGCCTATTTTAACACAACCTATTTTGATGCTAAAGAAAGTGAAAGTGGAAATTTCGGACATCATTAAAGTCAAAGTAAGAGTAAATTGTATCATTAGAATTAAACCTAACTTTACTAACTTAACTTTTACTGCGTTGTAGAATTCAAGGTTTAACATAGGGTCAAAATTTCGACTTGGGAAATTTGATGAACTTATGATTTGCGGATATATAAGCTTATGAAATACTTGAAACATTCATTTGAATGTAGTGTGTATTTTTCTGTGTGTACTATTCCATGTTTTTTGACCAGTCATTATTATCATGAATAATTATTATAGATATACTTCGTTTTGTTGACACAATTGTCAAATCCCGTGATCGAAAGGTTGCGGATTATTAATTAGAACACATTGATTCAATTCAATAGAACACATTGGTGCTATTTGCAAGCAGTATACATGCCACAAGTTGTGCAACATTGCTTAAATAACGAAGAGATCTCCCGAATCTTTTTTCCAGCGTTTGCCTTGAAAGTCTTACGCATAAGAGCACATTCACACCTTGGCAGAAAAGCACATTCACACCTTGGCAGAAAAGCAGAAGCTAATTGTGCTGATAGAAAAACAGAAACTATCATCTGACCGCGAGTTCTGATTGGTCTCTGCCTTTCTGCTTTTCCGCCAAGGTGCGAATTCACTCTAATATAATCGCGGTTTCGCGCGATCATTATCGAATAGTCGTACTTGGACTGACCGAATGCACTAACCCAGTATTTTAATGCTGCGTCGTGAAACGCGCGATCGATCGATCAATTGATCGATCGGCCGGCTGTATTTGGATGGGACGGCAATCGCGTGTCTCCTTCTTCTCGCGCTGCATTCATCGGCTTTTTGCCGGCCGCGGTGGAATGACCGGCCCTGAAACGTTCGGACGCATATATGCATTATCCGTCTCTCGTCCGGTTTATTTCTGGCGGTTCGCGAATTCGTGTGCGCGCCTCCTCGTCGAGCTCGAGTGATGTCATCTCCTGAAATCACCGCGGCGGGGTGTTTAGTTGCGTAAGAATCGGTCGGCAAGGAGAGCTCATTGTCCGTAGCTGCGCGTCGCGTCAGCATCGCGCGGATACGTCGCGAAGTTGAAGCACTGCGCGAGCTGCGAAGTTGTAAAGAATTATTCAGCGTTACGGCTGCGGAATAACGAAACGTTCCCGAGTTAGACACGCCGTGTGTGTATTGGAGTTTTTCCTCTTCTTTCTCTTAATTTATATATAATGCCCGCTATTATAATATCTTGATAATAATGAACATGTTATGTCTCTTAAAGAGTTTCTTAAAGATAAAAGCAAGACGTTCAATTACAGAACAATTATGGGGCAATTATAACGCAATTATCGAATAGCACTTAAGGAATAATGATAGAAAAATGAAATTCTTCTTGCCTCGCGATAAGAAACTCGTAAAAATATTAAGTACAATGCGGAGAGAAATCTAGTCCCGACTAGAAATTTGTAGATGTGATGTGTCCTCGAATCCTAATTATTGATCCGCCAGCTGTTTAACCTGCGATTTACGTAGGTTGGACGCTTGACTCTTTTTGCGCATCCGGCGATTTTCGCGGGCAAGTGGTTTTCAATATGCTTCTCCCAGCGTAGGCCGCGTTTTCCCCGTTCGCTCTTTTTATTCTGTTTCTTTGACTTCGTTATCGTCGTAGTTCATTCCTTTAAATACATTTTTTTAGAGGATTTTTCGTACAAATTACCCTGCTGAAGGATTAAGATACTGAGAGAAAAAAATGGTTGATCTAACTAAAATTATAGTTACTTTTGACTCTAACCATATTTTTTGGTTTTTCTAATGTATATTAATAATTAGGACTCGAGGGCATTACAAACCTGATAACTGATTGGAATTGACCTGATCGAAATCATGAGATAAATTTCTAGTCGGGACGTTCCATCTACATACTTTATGAGCTACTGATCGCGTGACTCGACGATTTTATGTTTGAATTATCATTCTTTAAACTTTCTACACGGAAAAAATGTCAGTTTGTGTGACTAAGACTAAACGAAAAACTCGCTGACGAGAAATAATATTTTTGTTACCGGAAACATTCGTCTAAACATTGAGCTGCACTAAAACTCGATTCAGATAACTGAGCGCAATTGGCTGTCCGAGTCGAAATTTTAGCCCTACTTTGGGCCTGAACTTTCTAACATCTGTATATTCTGAAGAATCTGTGCATGTGTAATACATATGGAAATCCTACTTAGCACTAAGTGGCCGAAAACGCCGAAAAACGTCATTTGTAAGTTCTAAAGAAGGCCTCTCTCTCCGCAAAGCTAGTAGATTCAATCAAAAAAGATAGGAAGAGATAGATTCAAAATATCAAAACAGTTAAATGGAATATTGAGCTCTTGTAAGTAGAATCAACTTGTTTCGACTTGGGTGAATAGAAACTTCTTACAGAAATCTTTCTGTTTCTCTAACCGAGTTTTTCATTCGGTAATGAAAAATGATTCAAGTAACAGAAAATTCAGTTACACTAACGGATTAATTTTTTTATGTATAATTGCTCTATAATTGTCCTGTGACTAAACATATCACAGTTTCTTCTTTCCTTCCTTCCATCTTTAAGGGCCGATTATTCCAACCTCTTGGTAAGTTACCTAACAGTTAAATCATACGTTTGTCTTCGTTTTTTCTTCAAATTGGACAAAGGCAGACATACGATTTAATTATTATAGCTTACCAAGAAGTTGGAACAATCGGCCTCAAAAGTATTACTTAACGTCCAAAAGTTCAGTCATAAGTCGCGATACTTTATTTCTCCAGATGGAAACAATTTTTAAGACCGATCGATCGATGATGAGAGATTAATGCACACGTAACGCGTTTGCGATCCCGGAAAGTTTTTTGGCGTCATTTAAATACGACACTGACCTATTGACAATGCAGGCTTTTAGAACAAGCTGTGAATGATAAATAGCGTCGTAAATACAACGCGTGCTAACCTATTTGTAGCTCGTGCTGTAAGTCCGTGTTATTTCTGTCCTATTGTAGTATTACAATAATAACGTTTCACGTCACTGCATATTCGAGTCGAAATTTTGGTCCTGTTAAATCTCGAATTTTACAACGCAGTAGGAACTAAATTTGCAAAGTAGGTTTAATTATAATGATACAATCTACTCCTATTTTGACTCTAATAATTTCCCTTTCACTTTCTTTAATTTCCCTTTTCACTTTCTTTAGCGTCAAAATAGGATATATTATAGATTTCAGGATATCAAAATAAGTGTTGAATGGAATAATAAGGCTGAAAGTAAGATCAAAATTTCGACTCAGGATATTTTTCTTGATATCCAAGTCAAAATTTTGGCCCTATGTTAAATTTTGAATTCTACAACGCAGTAGGAGCTAAATCAGCAAAGTACGTAGTAAAGTAAAGTATTTCTAGATTTAGCGTCAAAATAGGTGTTGAATGGAATAGTGATGTTGAAAATTTCGACTCTGGTTATAACTTTTTGGGGAAATATGTCTCCGATATTTCGGTAAAATTGCATTTCGGGACTTGCGGATTTGCAGTATTATGACCGTTCGGAAATTATTTCAGAATGTCGAGCTTTCGAGAGGACGCGCATGTCCACCCACAAAAAAGCAGCGTCTGGCAAATTGCGCGCCAAAGATCTCGATCTGTATTCCCGCGGCACGCCGGCCTCGATAATCTCACTGTGCGATAATCAGGATTCCGAGATCATTCTCGCGCCGGCGAGGCTCGCGTGTGATCTGGCTACGAAATTGATACGAAGTGGATGCGAGCGGCACACCTTCGCCGCCGCCGTCGCGGCTGACGGTGCTCCGCTCCGTGAAGTTTCCATCTGCTATCCGCGATCGTCGAGGATCACTTGGATTTTTCAGCCTGGGCAAACGAGCCGCTATCGTTATCGTTATATCACCGGTGCCTCCGCAAAGGTGTCTCGCACGTAGGTGCGACCAGGTGCAAATATTTGTCCGATTGCATCGGGGCGGCCGTTGGTAAATACCAACGACCCGAGGCGAGTTCTTCGCTGGCATTGTCGTTGGACGCTTCTTCCGCCACAACAGTGGCGCGAAGTCACGCCGGTCATTAACGGCGTTATCCGCTCTGATCAGTCGCGATCGCGCTCTCCACCCTCTGTCAAGCCCAAAATGACAAGCGTGCGCTCGGGCTAGGGCGGAAGGGGCAAGGAGATCGGGAATGCGCGAAACCGAAAGGAGCGTTTCGCGAGATATCCACCGGTACAGCGCGCCGACGGGGATGAGCACTCCGTCACTATCGCCGTCATCTTTAATCAACGATCACGATCGCTATTAATCGACGATCGCCGTGCCTGGATTATCTTGCGAACACGCGCGCCCGCGCACCGCCAGGACGAACGGTGAGTGGGTGCGGTGAGAGATTATTGTTTATTCATTCGAGGATTATCCTTCGGCGAGTTCAGTGGCTGCGCCTACTTACGGAAAATGACGGTAATCCTCTCGCTATTTTTTATACCCTCCTACCGAGCGCTGCTCGATTCTACGCAGGAGGGACGCGACTGAGGCGGTTTTATTTACGACCGCGCGATTAAAGCGCGACGCGCGAATCGTCTTCCCAAAAAATAAAATAAATAAAAGACTGAGAGGGGAAGAGAGAGAGAGAGAGAGAGAGAGAGAGAGAGAGAGAGAGAGAGAGAAAGAGATTTGAACGAGGTTCTTATCTGTGTTCCTTTGTGCACTCCATAGGCCTTATTTGCGCCGAGGGTGACCTTTGGAGAGATCAAAGAAGGTTCGTGACCGGATGCCTGAAGAATCTCGGTATGGTGAAATTCGGCTTCAGAAGGGACAAGATGGAGGAAAGGATTCTCGCTGCCGTGGAACAATGCGTATCGGTATATTTTTGGCTAAGATAATTTACACAAGGCTACACCGTGTCAAGGAAAGCAGTATATTGATGAACGAATATCTTTCTGTCAGAGAGAGAGAGAGAGAGAGACGGAGAGAGAGGAATATTCACGCCGCGATGAATAAACTTACGCGCGAATTCGCATGTCACTCGTGTTACAGTGCAACTGATTATCTTCTGGAAATGTCATCGTATTTAATGAAGCTATCAATTTCCGTGGCATTTCGACGCCGTCAGTTCGCTCGACAATTTAGACGCAGAGACAATTATCGTACGATATCACGTGAAAGGAACAAGCGTCAACGATAACTCGTTGCGTTATGTTCAAGTTTCGCGGGATATATTACCTTCGTATCTTCCTCAGGAGCGTTCACATTCTTCTGAATTCTTGTCGTATACGGCGAATAAAACGAATATGCATTACAGAAACACATGTTGAAAATGTTAAAATAAAAATTGCAGTGAGATTTTTTTGTAATTTTTGATCAAATAGAATTATAATATAAATTATATATGATATAAATTATGATTGAAATTATATATTACATATTTCATTGTATATGTGAAATTATATATATGTATATATATATATATATATATATATATATTTGTTTAAAAATGTTATGTACACGTTTTTGACATTTCACTATTAAATTATTAAAATTATTTGAATATATTTTGTATTGTATCAGAGAGGGGAATAGATCATCAAATTTACTATTTCTATACCGAGAAAAATTTCATTTTATAGTACAGCTTTGTAAACAAAATTAAAAGAAGAATACAATTTTAATGTGATTTTCATTGCAATATTTTCTCCGTGTACTTTATTGATGTCTCAGAAACTAAGAATTCGAGCGACGGCAGACGGTATCGATCCATTAGAGACGCTTCATCACCACATGGGTAATTTGATAAACGACCTCGTGTTCGGCAAGGTTTACGAGGAGGATGACGACGTGTGGAGGTGGCTGAGGCACTTGCAGGAGGAAGGAGTCAAGCACATCGGAGTCGCGGGGCCGTTGAATTTTTTGCCGTTTCTCAGGTACAGTGCTATCTCCGGCAAGGATCCTTCGAGCCTTCCCGGTTCGACGGAGTCGCGTCGATTTGCATTGCGCGCGATATGCTTTGCGCCACGCTAACGAAAGGTAAACCGCATTATGTCGGCGTGGAAAACGCCGAGCAAATTGATTCGCACGACCAATTAACACATCAATGATGCGAGGATGATTCATTGAACATCTGCCATGCAAATGCCGCGTTTTCCATCGGAAGCAGCGATTCTCACTGCGATAAGCTAACAAGGATAGGCCGTTATTTTTTGCACTACTAACTATCGATGACAGATGATACGATAAATTGAACGGTACACCAGGAAATCTTTCTAAAAAAAGAGACAAGGAAAAAGAGAAATAAAAACAGTATGGAGAAGAATTCTGCTCGTTGCACTTGCTGTGAAAAGACTGTGAAAAGACTGTGAAAAAAGCTTACCGATAAAACATGCTTAGACCAAATGGGCTGCAGTTGAAAAATTAAATTGTCTTGTCATATAGAACAATCAGAAATACAAAACAGTCAGTCACCATGGATCTTGGTGTAAAATTAAAAATTTTAGAAGGATAATTTATTTCTAATGGAAGAAACAATTCCGTTGGTGCAATCGAATTTTCGGTTGCTCAGGGATCAGATGAAAACTAAGAATAAAAAAATTCCTTTATGAGGCTTCTATAGGGTAAAGCGGGGTAATTTCAAACTTTTTGAACAATTTTTCGAGAAATAATTTTATTCTTACATTGAATATATAGTAGGAAACTCACATGTCTAAGGAGTATTTACCTAATATATGAGAAATTACTCTTTAAATCTTAAGGCGTAATACCATTATCCAATTTACCCCTATAATTTTAATGAAGATCAATTTTGAGGGGTAATTCGGATACCTTAAGGGGTAATTTGAATAACATTAAAAATGAGCATTAATATTATAACAAAAACTAAATCATGTATTTAAATGTTGTTTTTTCAACATTTTATTATACTTTTCAGATCAAATTGAACATAAATTAGAAAAACGTGTAATAAAATTGAATACAAATTAAAAAATCAAAATAATCATATTAGTCCCGTATAATATTTTAAATACAACGAACATAAATAAACTAACATTAACTAAAATTAACATTATAATTATAATTACATTAACATAATAATTATAATGAATATTATAATATTATAATAAAAGCAAAACATTATTTTTATCTATTGTGTTTTTTATATTAAATTGCATTTTTTGTAAACAAAATTAAGCAAAAATTAAGACAATTAATAAGAGAAAAAATAATCATGTTAGTGTTACATAAAAAATTCATATATGAGAGTCATAAATGAACTGTTTTTTTTTTTGTTCCAACGCATTGCTCATGATACCATTGCCTCATACTTTCTTTGTTCCAATTTAGTCGAGTATCCTTTTTTCATGTCTCATCATTTGAAATAACAAAATGTGTCTTAAAACAGTTGAAATATACATATTAGGGAACTGAGTGCGTTATTCAAATTGCCCCATGAAAATGTATCCAAATTATCCTGTACGCCGATATAAAAACATTGTAATATAGTACTACAATAACTCAACAAAATGCGCCACTAGTCGACGTGGTGATCGCTAATACATGCGGGAAACTTTTTTAGGTTATATTGTTATCATAGCTTTTACGTAGATTTTATAAAAGCTTAAGCTAGCAGAATATTTTCTTATAAACTGTAGTAACAATAGAAGTTCTCTACATACTCTACTTAATATAAAATATTCCACAGACCTTCAGATTTTTTGAAACTTGTATGAATATGTAGACCACAGTATGTTCTTTACTGCTAACCTCAAACATAAAACATGGCGTCTTATATTTTTTTGAAATTGTCGCAAATGCTTAATATTACCCCGCTATCCAAATTACCTCGCTATACCCTATAGTTAATTGTTCTCAGTTGCCTCAACCGAGTTCTAATATTGTTGAATATTCAAACGAATATTTTCGGTTACAACAACAAAAATATTAGTTTTCGTAACAGAGATATCACTTCTAATTATCTAATTTTATTTTATAATATAATTTTTTATTTGGTTAGATTACATCAGTTGAGATTTCTTTCTCATGTATAATACAATTATAGTTATGATATAATTATAAACTAATTAGATATATTGGAGAAAGCCTAATTATATCTCCTTGAAATTTTGTTCTGATTTGTCCGACTACATAGATTCGTACCACGATATGGCAGAATAATGCACTCACTAATTGACGGCAAGATGAAGTCACACCAGGTGTACCAAATGATCATCGACGAGCATCGTGCTCGACGCGAGAAGACGGACAGCTTTCTCGCGGCTTTTGACGAGGAGATGAGGAGTAGGGCCGACGCGGGCACCACTGGATACTTTACTCGGCCACAATTCTATCATTTGTTGGCAGACCTCTTCGGCGCTGGTGTCGACACCACCCTAACGACCCTGCGTTGGTTCCTGCTCTTCATGGCGGTCTATCCGGACGAGCAAGTACGCTTCTGTTTTCAAGTTGCATTATTTTTCGTGGAGTACATTTTTTGCGAACAGGCGTCGCCATCTTGTTACTTGGGAGTTGGCGCCTTCTTGTACAATCTGCTTCGTTTGTGCAGAAAAAGATTCAGGATGAAATGAACGACCTGTTGGGAGAAAGGCAGCCTGGCTTGATAGACAGACCCGCTTTAATTCGACTAGAGGCGGCCATCTCGGAGGCACAAAGGTTGCGAAGCGTTACACCGGTTGGCATTCCTCATGGTACCACACAGGTAATCACGGCTCGCTTGCTTCTCGAAACAAGCGAGAAAGTCTACGGTTGCCCACAGAGGTTTCTTCCAACATTCTCTCTCAAATAGTTTCGTCTCACTCTATGAACAAAATCACGCGTATACCTACTGGAATATAATAATTTGCTGTTAAACAAATTTATTTGTGATAATTATTGTGACGAAGATCACAATGGGACACGGTTGAGCGTTAAGGGAATGTTGAAGTGGTTGACTAATTTCGAAAATGTCGATGACGTAAAGACGATCGTCACTGACACAATCACGCTATCCTCTTCGTATTTCTTGTACACCAAACTCCACTAACGCAATCCCATCCCGAAGAATTGAGATACCAAGTCATCCAGTCAGGCGCAACAAATATTCGTGCATCACAACTATGGGCCATTCAAGGAACAGGCAACGCTGCTCCAAAGCAGCGAATGGTAACCATATGTCGATTTGACAACTTTGTAACACGAAGTTTAAACGGATTGGTAACCTAGTTTAGTAAAAAGATGTTTCAAAACGAATGACGAGCAGAAAAGCAGTGGAGACGGTCACCACGTCATAAATACCGAAATTAGCTCTGTGTGAGTATAGCAATAATATTTGCGTAAAATTATTCTTAGTCTAGACACCAATGACTCTCTATACGATGACAGATCGCTGTCTTGGAGCAGCGTTGCAGATTCCTCAAATGGCCCATAGTCATGATGCACGAATATTTAGATTTGTTGCGCCTGACTAGACGATTTTTCAAAACAGGACTAATGGAGACATTAATGGAATCTGGTGTACATATAGAACTTACGTGTGTTACTTTGATTCACCATATTCAGCGGGAAAACCTAATTACGCAGAGTATGTAGAAATCTTTCTGCAAACTTTTCCAATATTTTTAAGCATCTGAATTCAGATGCGCACAGCAATGTTCTTCAAAATTTTTGGAGCATTCACACTTTCGATATGTTACAAAACTTTTAGATTAGGCAAATATTATGCTAACTGACAGCTTGAGATTTTACATTAACCCATTAACGCCCAAATGTGCTGAAATTTTACGTTGATTTGAGTCATTTATTTTACTATGAAAATGAGATCTGTTTATAAAGAGTACCATTCCTACCAATTTCGATGTTGCTCTATCGAATAGCGTTGAGAAAATTAAAAAAAATTGCAATTTATGCAACATTTTTGCAAAATAAAATAAAAAAACGCTAATTTTTTCTTCTTCCGCTATTTTCTCCATAAAAACATGTTAGTATCGCTCGAGAAAGTGTCTATGGGTGCGTTCCTTTATTTACTGCGAGTACTGACGCAAGTAATGACGTCATGAAAGTATACTGCTAGTAGCGTTCCATTTTAACTTTGAGCACTGTCGAGGTGCTGCAAAGTTACAAATCGAAACGAGCCACAGTATGCTTCGTGTTATGTTTATAGTTTGCATGTTCGTGCATTTGTTTACAAACATGAGTGGAAACTCAAATACTAATATGACTGTAATTGCATTAATTGCAAGTATAATAAGAGAATACATAGATGACGAATCAAGCAAAAGCGATTCAGACATAGAAATAATAAAACAGTCACGGCATAATAAAAAAAGACATAATAAAGACATAATAAAGACATAAAAAAGATATAATAAAAACATAATAAAAACATAATTAAATCTTAAATATTTTAAACTTCATAAATTTATAAATTTATGTTACAAATTATTTATATATCTTCATATATAAAAGTAAATAATAATTAAAATAATAATAAATATGTAAAATATAAGTGAACAAGAATATTTATATATATAACAATCACAATATTCATATATATAACATACAGTTAAACTAAAAATCAATAATCCTTACCATTTCGAACTCTTGCCACATCCTCCGAATTTACACCTACTATATATGGTTCGTTATTCTCATTATCAATTAACCCTAAGTATACATTATCAATTAACCCTAAGTATATCCTAAGTTACTCTCATTATCAATTAACCCTAAGTATACACATTTGGGTCTCGGAAACCTCAGACAAAATTTGAAACTTAGTAGAGAGAATAAGTAAGGAGGATACGATCGCCGTGTAAAAAAAATTTGAAGTCTCATCTGTAGATAGCAACTGTCGGAGCAGTCAATTATCTGTCGGTTTAGTGGTAATTCACACGTAAAGTAAGCCCGGGATCTCCCAGACTCCAGTATGTACTTCGTGTAACTTTTTTGCAAGTAAGTATATTTTGTAATTAATTTTATTCGAATTCATAGCGTAAATATATAAAAAATGTTAGATAAAATAAGTAATGTAAAAATAAGAACTAATTTTTATTGGGAGACAGAAACACGGACTAAACGCTCAAAATGATATTACCTTGTTGGATGAATATTATCGGGACCTTGAATAAGTTCTTGCTGTTTTCCAACAGTAGGCGTTACCAGAACTGCATGCGTGTAGTTTAAGATGGTAACGCATCTATAAAAAAGTACTATAAGCAAGCTTGAAATTCAGTGTATGTCATTTTGCCGAAGTGTAAATAATTTTTTTTTTTTCATAGTGTTAAACATGTCGAGTTTCGTGCCAAAAAAAGAATATTTGCGGGGAATTTTACTGCACTACTTTATTTAAAAAAAATCTGCAGCTGAAGCACACAGAATTCTTATTGAGACTTACGGCGACCATGCTCTGTCGGAAACAACAATGCAGAGATTGGTTTAGACGCTTCAAAAATAATGATTTTGATGTTGAAGATAAAGAACGCTCTGACGCACCGAAAAAGTTTGAAGACGAAGAATTGGAGGTATTACTTCATGTCAGACGCTAGTTGAACTTGCAGAATCATTAGGAGTTGATCACACAACAGTTTCGAAACGTTTGAAAGTATTAGGAATTATTCAAAAGCAAGGACATTGGGTGCCGTACGAGTTGAAGCCGAGAGATATCGAACGGCGTCTTTTCACGTGTGAACAGCTGCTTCAACGGTAGAAAAGGAAAAGTTTTTTGCATCGTATCGTGACTGGCGGTGAAAAGTGGATACACTACGATAACCCTAAGCGTAGAAGATCGTGGGGTAAGCCAAGCCATGCATCAACATCGTCGGCAAAGCCGAATATCCATGGTTCGAAGCTTTTGCTCTGCATTTCGTGGGATCAGCTGGGTGTAGTTTATTATGAGCTGCTCAAACCGAATGAAACTATCACGGGAGATCGCTATCGACTACAATTGTTGCGTTTGAGCCGAGCATTGAAGGAAAAACGGCTGCTATACGAACAGAGACACGACAAAGTGATTTTGCAACATGACAACGCTCGGCCACATGTTGCACAATCGGTGAAAACCTACTTGGAAACGCTTAAATGGGAAGTCCTATCTCACCCGCCATATTCACCAGACATTGCCCCTTCCGATTATCACTTGTTCCAACCGATGGCACATGGCCTGGCTGAGCAGCACTTCCATTCTTATGAAGATGCCAAAAAATGGGTCGACTCTTGGATAGCCTCAAAAGACGTGTCATTTTTCCGACGTGGAATTCAAATGCTGCCAGAAAGATGGGAAAAAGTAGTGGCTAGCGATGGACAATACTTTCAGTGACATGTTTTTTACGACTTTTTTTAAATAAAGCATTAATTTTCACGAAAAATCAGCGAGAACTTATTCAAGGTCCTAATATTTGTCGCTTTTAAATTATTGACGTTTTTCTTTTTCTATTTCTGTTTCTGTTACATGCATTACAAGTTATTGAGTTTGTATTTTTTAACAAAAATCCTAACTCTTATACCTGCTTGTAAAACAGAAAATAGAATTATGAAAAATCATCAATCTTGGAGTCTTGTAATTTTCATGATAATATTCCAATATATAGGCGACGATAATATTTAGGCGACGATTTTTTTCTTTATACCTTGAAATATGCCTTTTCAAAATCTGAAAACTTTTTACGATTATCTCTATTATCAAAAAAGATATGCATTTTTCAAGCTATTACAGTAAAATGACGTTTCTTTTGCATTTATGAGTAATTCTAATATTTCAATACGTCTTTATTATGTGATGCTTATTATGACTTAATTCTAATTTTTAATAAATATATGTGTCTATTAACAATCAGGAAAAAAGTTAAAATACGGTGATTTTTACCAGAGTTATAATAAAAAAAGTAGCTGGGGTCCTTCAGATCCCAATGTAGCATCTACGTATGCGAAAAATAAGTGTGTATACTTAGGTTAACTCTATGTGAACAGCCATCTTGTACTGTGACTACTTTACCTCGTCGGCTGCAGTAGCCGTAGCAGGAAGTGACATCAAAATTCATGACGTCACAAACTCATCGAAGCTTTTGCTTTTGCTTTTGCAGTGCACTGTAGCTTATTTCGGAACGCTATTGGCAGTACTGACAATATTTGCAGTAAATAACAATAGGAACGTGTTCTCGACACTAACTTAAAAAATATGTCATGGGTATTTTTTTCAACAAACAAGGCAGTACCAAAATGGCGGTCGATTTGAAGCGTGATATTTTCATTTAGTTATCGAAATTGTTTTAAAGTCAATGTTATTACAAATAATTACATTAACTAATTATTACTACTAAATTACATTAATCTACCATTGGTAGGAATGGTACTTTTTATAAACAACAGACCTCATTTCCGTAGTAAAATAAATGGCTCAAATTAACGCAAAATTTCACCACATTTGGGCGTTAATGGGTTAAAATTTTTTTCCATTTTCGTCACATATCGAGCAACGTTCCTGTTTATTTTTGCACGTAGTTTCATTGCGTAAAAACATTCGTAATTCTGTATAAACAGTACAACGTAAACTTTGCGGAAAAATGTCAGTATTCCATTAGTAAAGTTTTCAGCGTCCTTTTAACAATACAATAAAATCCGAAATGATTCGTGCATTTAGGATACACAAATAGGGGGCTACGACGTGCCGAAAGGTACCATGGTTATTCCGCTGCAATGGGCCATCCATATGGATCCTTGCTATTGGCACGAGCCACTCCGCTTTGAGCCCGGGAGATTCATCGCGCAGGATGGAAGTCTTGCCAAGCCGGAAGCCTTTCTACCTTTTCAAGCGGGTGAGTTTATTCGCGGGACGAAATGGAGGAAGGTACTGTTCAGGCCTCTCGTTCAATGTATTGTTGGTCGCTACTTTTTGCAATGTACGCAGGTAAACGTATGTGCGTCGGCGACGAGCTGGCCAGGATGATATTATTTCTTTTTGCTGCAAGAATTCTCCGCTCGTTCGTTATTTCGCTGCCAGCCGGCGCATGTATCGATCTCGACGGCGAATGCGGAATCACCCTGGTGCCGAAGCCGCATCGCTTGGTTTTTACGTCGCGGGAATAAATTTGCATAAATCCTCGATATTCTCTCATATATATATGACATGTTACGCAATGCTCTCTAAAAATGCACACGCAAATATGTACGCTTAATTTTCGCTTTATGTAAGTGTTTGCATTAAATCCCGTTGAGAAAACGACACTCTCGCCTCCTTAAAAGTCCCATTCCGCCGATATTGATCGATACACTTATCGACACAGTTGGTGCACTTCTTCGGAAAAAATGTACAAATGAATGCCGCGAGATTGCGAGATTGCCGGCCGTATTGAATTTCACCGGCGCCGAATATTTCGGTCCGCTGGCGTCAAAAGAAACGATTTGATTAAAATTCGCGAGACAAACCGCGCGAGGAAATATTCACCCTGTAGAAATGGAGCAAATGGAATGTATTTGCACGTGCGCACGTGCGCGCGCACACACACGCACGCACACGTACCCCGCTCGTATTTTATATTTGCGAGGCGCGTTCTTTTGCTATCGCGCATTCCCAATATGGAGACATAAAAATCGTTAAAGTGTCAGCCGCGATTACATCGGGAAATGATTTTACATAAACTACGCCGCCACACTTCGCGTCGCTCCTACTCTCCTCTCGCACTCTCCTGTTCTTCACGCGCGTCTTGCATCGCGTCGAGATATTCCGCTGAAGTTATGCAACGCGCGCGCGTTTTTTCTTCTTCTTCACAATGTAGCGGCCTTGGTTATACCATAGACGCACCGTTCGCCGAATTTGGATGCGTTTCCTCCTACGAATCGCGCCGAGAGGCGCAAAAACATTTCGGAGAAAACATCACAGGATGGCTTTTCGCCTGAAAAGGTCGAGGCTCTGAGATGAACGATGCAAGCATTCGAAGGTCTCTTCCGGCTTCTTTTTTTGTTTTTTATACTCGTACTAATTCGCTCGTGCATTTTAGTGCTGTTAATGCTATTTCTCGACAGCATGATGTACGACGCGCGAGATTACATAACCAACGTAAAATTCGCTCGTAAATCAATCGATCATACGGCCCGCTCACCGGACTCGCTTCTCCTTGGCGCTCGACTTGATTTTTTTCTTTTATGGCGTGCACAATGAAGGCGACTGGAATGACACCTTTGTGCGATAACAGCCGAATAATTGAGCGGATGCACAGCGGCGAATGTAAATCTGGAGTGAGCGTACGTAAACGTACAGACGCGGCGCAAAATCGACAGATGTGGACCGATCGATTCTCGTCTGGAAGGCGCCGATCAGCGCCTACGATTTCGTGGCTACGACCCGGCCGAATCGTGGCTGCTGAGCGCAGTTTTGGTCCGGAGAAAGATCTCGGGGCACGCGCGCCGAGCTATATGAAGCCGCTCTATCAACATACTTTCAACCTTGTGTGCCGGGTAGTAAGAGAGAAAAGAAAAGGAGAAAAAGAAAATAAGAAACGCCTCTTCCTACTTCATCGAGGCGAACCTTCGGAGGCAACGGTTCTTCAAACTTTCTTCACTGTTTTCGCTGCTATACGGCGGGCCAGGTGGCGCTCGGCCGACTCTTCGGCGAGAAGAAGCCATGAAGTTATGTATCAAAGCCCGAAGTAAAGGAAAAGAGAAAAAGAAAAAGGGGGCCGTACCACGGAGAGCAGGAGCCACGTGTCGCGGCTACACATGTGGTGCAACGCGCGCACCTGTGATACCTGCATTTTCACGTGCACGATATTGCAGGAAACGCGCCATTATCAATGTACGTCCCCGGGACGTACAGCGGCGGCCGGCCGAGCTGACCTTACGTAACTTGTGTGCGGTTTTTCGGGCCACTTTCGTGTCATTAACCTTACCCGGCGTAATATACGCCCGGCGACGATATTTCGTTAGAAACCCAGGAGTTTCTCTTATGTAAGCGCGCGAGCGCTTCGCATCCAGCTCTGCAGGCGCCTCGTGAATTTTGCTAGTATCGCTGCAACGCGCTCACGGGCTTTGGACGGGGCGCACCTAAAATCGCTCGGACAAATCCTTCCCGGCTTCTCGGGGACTGCCGAAAGCTCGTCAGTGAGGATCCCCAATTAACGAGACCGACCGAACATTTGGCGTCGTTTGCATCAACTGGAAAATCGTTCGTTCGATGGAGAAATGGTGTGCTCTCAGATTTACGGTTCCCTCTCTCGAGGCACGAGAAGAATTTCCCGGACGTGAGGATAATTCAGCGCAAGAATCGTTGGGGATAAGAGTCTTGGGCGTCAGCGTCAGCGACGGGAGTCGATACAACTGGCACCAATACAACGATCCAAATTGCTTATTCTAATTTATTAATTAATGCACAAGAGTATACACAGGGGTTCCACGTTCGTGTATATTTAAATCTTACGAGGACATTCTAACGAAAGACACGAGTTTCTTTTATGGCATTAATTTGGCTCGATTATAGCCTTTTTCGTAATCCAGCGGGATCTCGTGTCTATCTCGTGATTCTATTTTTGGACACGCAGTATCCTAGAATGTTCGACGTATAGAAATTAAAAAAAAAAATGTCCTACCAAATACGAGACCGAGCGAGTCCAGTGGAAGAGAAAGCTAGGTCCTCTTTCGTAGGCCCCGAGCAAAAGTTCTCAGTGTACCGAACGGCGACAGGAAGGGACGTACGCGCGCGATCAGAGATCAGAGTCGAAGGCCGATGGTTGCAGCCGAAGAACCAGAAGTCTTTCCTTTTTTTCTCTTTTTTTTTTCTTTTTGTTCGTCTTCAAGGATCCGGTTTTCGTGGCCGCAGTTTCCAGACAAAATTTTTCGCGGGAACGATCGATGAAGAATTCGATTTCTTGGAATACTCTACCGGTCGACGCTCGCCACGCCATGGACGTTGCGGATTATAACGCGTACGCCCTTTGGAACAATTAGCGAGCCTTTGTGGAGTTTGATGTTTCTAGGTGATATATGCAGGCGTATGATACAAGGAACAGCAGTCTTATGATGAAAAAAGGCGACAATAAATGAGGGAGAGAGAGAGAGAGAGAGAGAAGTCTAAAACGTGTCTGCTCTTTCGGGTCCAGACTTCCCGGTTATCGCGAAGGAAGACCGGTCCCCCGGTCGCGCCGTTGATTGCGCGGGGAAATACTGACACAAATCGACTCCCACAATTTTCTGAACTGCAAAACAGTTTTATTTTATTAAATATCACACAGAGATTGTCGACGGGTGAACACAATGTGGTATTTCGAATCGGTACAACTGCGCACGATACGATAGGACCCATCGTGATCCTATCCAGTATTCTAACGATGAAGCGCATCACGCGCACGGCGCCGATCTTGTCAGTCGAGAGCGAATCCGTCAGTCGTTTGAGCTAAAGGTAAGGCACATCGAGCTCCTCTATCTCGGGGACGAGATCGGCGCCGCAGTCTCGCGCTCCTCTCGTTGCCTCGAGGATGCACAGCCTGAGATACCTTTAGGAAATCGGATAGCACGACGTCACAATGAATCGTGGACCGTGCATCCCGGATGTCTTGGTTTCACAGCCCTTGCCCGCACCTGAGCCGAGTGCACGATCGATATCGGTATCGATATACATATATATATATATATATATATATATATATATATATATATATTTGGTGTGTGGCGAGGCGCAACACAAGTGCGACGAAGACGACAAATTTCTTTGCTCGAAAATAGGATGGATATATATACATATATACATATATACATACATGCATATATATATATATACATACATATATATATATATATATATATATATATATACACACACACATATATATATATATATATCCATTCTATTTCCGAACAGAGAAATTCGTCGTCTCACCGCGTTCGTGTCGCGTCTCGCCACGCCGGATGGCGAATGTCGCAACGGAATCTGTTGGCGACTTTCACGAAAATCGTTCTCGGACCCCGCGACTCGGTCCGGCTCGGACGGTGTTCGGATATGGCTGATTCGTGGTGCCGATTGGCGCGACCACGATCCGCTCGTGCCGCTAGAAAACGCTGATGCCGCACCGGCATCAACGGGTGGTCTTGGATGCGAGGGCAGTCCTCTCTCGCCTGCTCCTCTCGATAGGCACGCGATTCGTCTCGTCGACCAGCTATTATTAAATACACACACACACACACACAAACACATACGACAACGCATGTACGATTATCTATGTACACACGTGATATATATACATGTTTATATATATGTTTTCTATGTATATATTCCGCTCGTCTTGGTACACATTCTCACTTCTTTTTCTTTACCTTAATGGCGTTATTATTACGTTGTTGTGAACGAAAGAGGTGCATCGAGCAACAAGCTGCCACCCTCGTTCGTCCGCGGAGATCTACGACGAGTCAGCGGCGTTCTAGATCGTGACGTGGGTTTCGTCAGGTCGTATCCTCCGATGTAACGTCAACGCCGATGCGCGAGGCACCCTTTGACAGCCGTGTGTCGCATCAAGTCGCGACACGGCGCGATTGACATTACCCGCGAGAAACACGAAATCGCTGTCGAAACCACTCGACACGTCGAGACCCCGTCGATCTCGCCGATCTAGTAACTAAGCGCGAATAAATACCTGGCGGGGAATGAGGAAAGAGGGAGGAGGAGGAGCAGAAGGAGAAGGAAGAGAAGGAGCAGGCGAAAAGTAACGTTCGCGGAGTGTTATAAATAAATATCCATAGGAGCGGATGCGGAGACGAGCAAGGGGTTGAAGTAGTGAGTGAATAAAGGTAGTGAGTAAATGATGACGTAAGAGGATGCGGAGGATAGGGAGAATGGATTCGAACCGTAGGCTCCTTTTGTACTCTAAGCAGTCGCCGAAGAGGACTCTTTCGTCTTCCTTCGACCATCCGATTAATCCTCCTTCGCGCTATTTTACAAAAAAGTTACTCTCGAAACCAAGAAAATTATTTACCATTTTTATGGTCCCCCGAAACGAGCCGCCAAGAAGATACTTGTTCAGAATTTTTAACGGGATCGTAATAACGGTGTCGCGATTATTAATTCGTGGCAGCTCGATGATTGCCGCGATATTAAAGACACGATTGACGATTTCGTTCTTTTTTTCTCTTTCTCTTTTGTTTTTTCTTTTTTTCCTTTTTACTTCTTTTTTTAGGTTACTTCGATTAATCGAGTCATCTCGTCTTCTCACAATAACAAATTTGGTACGATAAAAGGAAACCACCCTTCTGATATGGCGAGATCGTGCCCACGGATTTAAAACGGACGTAAGAAAGGTGGTAGGTCCTTTAAAAAATGCAGATGTAGCGTTACACCGATAGAAATGTTAAAATCAGCGAAACAAATTCTCGTTAGTAATGGGATCAACGGCTAAATTGGAAGTGGGAAAATCTCGTCGCACCAAAATTGTGGTGGGGGCACATCAAGCAACGAATACGCTCGAGAATCTCTTATACCCTAATCTTAGTTTATATAATTCTATCCTAGTGGCGAAATTTCTTCAGTAACTTTTACCTTTTCACGGAGGATCATCAACTGCTTTCGAATCATTCATTAGGAAAACTGCTTTGGATGTCGGAAAACGATCAATTGCGCACTATGATCACAAAGAAAGTTAGACAGAAAATAAAGAATTAATATTTGAAGAAAAAATATTTGAAGAAAAATCTTCTTTTCTCTACTGATAGCAGAGTAATTTTTGCTCACCAGAAATATTTCCTTTTCTTAATTTTAATAAAGGACAGAAATATATTAGAGTCTAGTTTAGTTGATAAAATTTGGCAAGCAAAAAAAAAGAGACAGAGACAGAGAGAGAGAGAGATATCCCAAGTATATGGTTTATTCTCTCCCTTTCTCATTATGTCCACTCTTGTGTGCGGCTCAAACGCTTGGTTTTATATGAACCACATTCGATCGTTTTCCGATAATTAATATACAGATAGATATGAACCTTAGAGGATCCATCTCGGTGAATGCGACAGGATGACTTTTTTTCATACGGATGACTTTCCTCCCGATAGGAACAGCTACCGTGCTCCGTAGCTTGGATCCGAGGATGCTTAGTGGCTGCCTACATTTCTGAGAGGTCCACTGACGGCAATTTCATTGGCTTCGCATTCCACTACGTCGAGGCTTCTTTTGGATACACATATTTTAAAGGGATCCGGCGTCAATGTGATGCCGAGGTTGCCTTTCAAGCTGGGCAGCGAGGCACCTTCCGGCAGCCTCAAATCGAAAGAGTGCAGCAAAGAACTGAAGAACAAGAAGATCTCCATTTTCGCCAGCACGTCGCCCAGACACATTCGCCGACCGACTCCGAATGGCATAAACCACTCCGGCTTGTAGACCTTGCCCTCAGAGGTAAGGAAACGTTCCGGCCGGAAAGCCTCCGGCTCTTCCCACAGATCCGGATTCATATGAGCAGCGTACAACATCGGCGTTACTTGACTGCCGGCTGGTATGTGGTAACCGTTCAAAGTCACGTCTCTGTAACACGAAGGGAGGAGATGGATTGATTAGACAAAGGCGTCCACGACATCTACAAATGCTGTAATTGGGAATAATTGAAGTTGTAAGATTCAGAGAGAGAAATATTCCGACAGCGAAAGCTTGCTGAGGGAAGCAAATCTGAGAACCTCCAGATTCGAGCTTGCCAGGAGATAGCTCGACTAGGTTAGACCCAGAGACTCTACACTTTGATACATCTCTCTAATCACTCCTAGTTTGCGGGCAGCTCGGAAGCAACCAGTCATCACAATGTCTTATTTTTACGCAGTAACACATGATATTACGTTAATAAACAGAGACAACAATGTCAACAAATGAGACGCTACTCGCACGTTGAGCGTCATCCAACACTCTAAGCAGCAGCCGTCTATAGTTCGACCTCTTACAATAACAAATAATAAAATTAAATAATAAATAATTGATAATAGCAATCGAGCGAAAACGAGAGATATGTTTGTTGACTGACTGCGAAAAGGGATGTGCCAGTTAAAATTAATGTAACTTCTCTTAACGAATAGAAACTTCTGTACAAAGTTAAGTAAAAAAGAAGCGGACCAAGACGTTTAAGCTCAAAATTCCATCGTGACAATCGTCGTCACTCATCATTCGATAATTGCAAGTTTCGGCGGACAGTCGTCGATTAATACGGAATATTAATCCGCCGGTGAAGTCAAGTACCCAACATGACTTTTTACACGCGCTCGTCACGCTCTTTCTGGCCGCGTTCTCCGCGAAGAAGTGAAACCGTATCGCCCGTGCCGTTTCTAATGGCGGCCTCTGCTTTCATGCACAATCCTAACGAGCATTCTCGATATATCGCGATCCGATACACCTGTCGAATAAGTTCTTTGTCCGTATGGGAAACGGTGTCATCGACCTCCTGCGCGCTTCGTACCCAAAGGCGAGGCGGCTCGGCTGAAAAGCAGATAGGGGGGCCACGCACCTTTGCTTTCACTTTTGCTCGCCGAATATAATCGTCCAAAACGATCGCGGGGTTCCGATATGTCTGACGCGGGAAGCCTCCGAGAAGGAAGGCCAGAAGACTCGTTGCGAAATCCTCTCTTGGCTCACGTCGAGAAAGGGAAAGGGCCAGTGTGTATTCATGTAGGACAGACCGGATCGGAGGTGATGATGAAAACGATTTTCGTCGAAAGTTACCGGGGACGACAGAATCAACATTGATAGGTCCATTTACCGTGTGGTAGCGTGCGTGGTGCCGAGCGGTACGATGCTGGATCTGCGAAGGACCTCTAGAATTGTCGCCTCGGTGATCGGAAGATAGGGTAGATCCTCCAGCAACGGCATTCTCGATCTTCCTACCACCTGGTCTAGCTCCTCCTGCACCGCTTTCGCCGCCTTCGGATAGTGCAGCATCAGAATCACCGACCACTCCAACGTAGTCTTGATTGTCTCCATACCAGCGGAGAAGAGGTCGCCCAGAATTTGTTGTATCTGACGATCTGTATTAATCAAACAGAAAAGAAACGTGTTTAATACAGAGATTGTATAGATAGTTGCAACGCGTCGGAAGAGAGTGAATATCGAAGGTCATAATTAAAGTGCGCAATTTTGATGCTGACATTGTGCTGACGATGCAACGATATATGAAATATGCTGGAAGTAGGAGAAGTGTCCTCTCTTTGAGAAATCGAGATAGAATGTCGGTTCCTACTCACCGAAATATTTTCCCTGGAAGAGCTCCTTATCTTGACCTTGCTCCTTAGCTCGTTGAAACTCGAGCAAGTAGCTGTCCACGACGTCGCGAATGTTGTCCTTGTCAAAAGTGGCCTTGTGCTGGTTGATCTTCTCTTGGAAGAAGTTAGCCATTTCCATTCGGTTCTGCGCGATTTTGTTCCGTGTATTATTTAGGATTTTCACGAAACGGTATATCGGTACATAGTTCACTGTATCCACTTCGCCGAAGAGCCTGAAGCCCTCCTGGATGAGATCCATGAACCTCTTGAATTGCGGGTCGCCGTGGTGGAAGCGCGTTCCCATTATGATCGTGCAGATCACGTTGCTGATCGACATGCTGAGGAGGGTTGAGATCTCTGTCGGCGTTCCTTGTCGCAGCTCCAACCCCCGGAGGAAGTTATCGACCTCATACTAAATTCAAAATTCAAATTCTAAATTCAAAAGAATTTTCAATTTCTGCAATGAGGATCAAAGAGTTGTTCTGTCATTTTAAATGGGATAGATTTGACCGAGGATATCTTGTGTTAGCAAGAGGTCGCATAGGATTGTTCGATTAAGGACGTTCGATTCAAAACTCACTTTGATCTTGGATTCCAAGGCTTTCCTGGCGCCGCCCATGTGGGCCATTCCAAAGTTTCTCAGCTTATCGTGGAGGAATCTCCTTTGGTCCTTCCACAGCTGTCCGTCCGCATTGATGATGCCTACAACAGCAACGTAGACGATGCTAAATCGCAGGGACTCTCATATCCGGCGCGTCATCAGTTTCGCTTCTACGATGTAGTGCCGATCTGTCCGCGGACGATCGATTACGACAGCTCGGAGCACAGGTTAGCATTGACCGAGAAGCAGTCGTGGAAACGTTCAGCCGTGACCGACGGGAAATGCAACGGTTCGGAAAATTGAAAGTAATCGCGGAAGTAACTCATCTCAGGAAGAGGTTTCTCCCAATATATCGTGTCCGAAATTCGCCACTCAGCAATTACTTGACCGCGATTCGATAAACGACACTTCATATCGAACATATATCATCGGCAAGTCGGCGACAGTTGTAACTGGCACGAGTGAAAAATTGCCGACGAATCTGGCGGAGCGTGAAATCGCGCGAAAGACGAAAGAACGAGTCGCGGAGTGCTTTAACCCCTCCCCTCCCCTCCTGGCGGTGATACAAGAACGCGCTTGAGTCGCAAGATAAAGCATAATATCGGAATCTGCTGCGTTCGACACTCACCATATCCATCGAGGATTTTGTAGAACTCGTTGCGCGGTCTGGCGGTGAACTCCTCGCGTCGAAACGCCTCACGTATGACGCTAGGGTCGGTGAGAACGACGATGATCTGCGTGCCGAGGCGGATGCTGAACGTCGAGCCGTACTTCTTGGCCAGCTTGTAGTAATACAGGTGAAGGTCACCAACTCTCTGTATGAACGGCAGGTAACCGAGAAACGGCAACCCCCATGGACCTGGCGGTAAGGTGCGAGTATACTTGAGCCACTGAACGAATCTCGTTATCAGAAGAAAAGCGACGAACACCAGGAAGGCACAAAGATCTTCTATCCTGGTGCCACCCAGCGCCTCCCAGATCCACTGTGTAACGCGTTCCACCAACATTTCTGTCCGATCGTGGACTATCAGCCGATCGTGATCCGATATACGTCTAAGTACTTGCAGCGTCTTCGAGTGTCTGTCAGCTCGCGATTACCACTTGACGTATATATACTACACAAGTCTCTATCGGTGCGCTTCTCTCTTAATCTCCCGATAAAACCAAAAAAAAAGAAGAAAATCTCAGAAAGAAGTGAAGAAACACAGTTTAGTCTCCCCGACTGTAAACGAATAATGTTTCTCCGGACTCTGCGACTCTTTATCTGATCCCGCTTCTCCCGATGTCGAGATAGAAGTGAGCGATGTGTTCACTGCGAGGGAGGATACACTAGGACCCAAGGGCGTGTACTAGGAAGTGGGAGATCCGAAAAGTCATAAGGTGACGTTCGGATGACGAATAGTAAGGACGAGAGGGAGAGACGAAAGAATGAGAAAAGGATAGAACGAGTGTAAGAAGGAGAAGGAGAAACGAGGGAAAGAGATAGAAAGAAGGAGTAAGAGAAAGAAAAGGGAAGGGAGAGAAAGAGAGAGAGAGAGAGACAGAGAGAGAGAGAGAGAAAAGTCGGTCACCGCCGCAGCCGAATTTGCCGCCGCTCGCCACGTTGTAAACCGTGCGAGCTACGGGAGGATTGAGTATGTACTAACATACACCTTCTTGTCCTTGCCTGTCTTATATAGTGACTCATAAGGCGGCGGCCCCGCGGCGGACCCTTGGCACGAGAGAGGGAGGTGTCCGATTGGACAGAGAGAGGAACACCGAGGACGCCGGAGGGTGGGGGACGCCGCGATGATGATCGGGGAGCAATCGGTGGGGATAGAGCGTGGGTTGCGAGCGCGTCCGGGGTGGTGGACACTTCCGTTGGGGGTGCGAAGGCGGACCCCTGGTACTCGAGTCTCGTTGGCCGAAGACCACGAGGCCTCTCGCCCTAGGGTCGCTGGTGGGGTCCATCTCCCACCACAGGCCCCCCGTAGGGGTCCTATTCCGACCACCCTGGTAGTGGGAGATGTCGGCGTGAGCTAGCGCAGCAGCAGCGAGCCCGATCGTTGCGCACACGTCGCGGCGCGGCGCAGCGTGTCGCACTGTTCGGACGAGGCGCTTCGTCAGAGGATGTCACTCTGCCTGCCCACATGGGAAGCAGTCCGGGTAGCAGGGGTGCTCTACCTTCAACCCTTCCACTTTTGAGTCCAATTGAACATCTCGGTGTTTGCGTCGACTGAGAGTATAGTTGTGGCATGTTAGCGACATATCGGTGGACGGAAATGCTTCCTCTCGTTCACTCGATCAGTTTAGCGTTGTTCTCGCATGTACCCGATGTTATCGCTGCAGTTCTCGAGTGTTGAGCCGTCAGATCGAGTTGAGAATCGTCCGATGACGAGTTGGTCCATTGACACGGTAAGCCGTGCGCGAATAATCAATTGATAAGTTGTACTTGAGGAAACCGAGGTCACTAGCTGCGCTATTAGACGCGGCCTTAGATTATTGACTTAGCCAGTGACTTAGCGTCACTGATGCGATAGCTTATCAGCTGATCCGTTCGTCATCCTCTAATCCGTTCATAAAAAAAAAAGTAAGATAGAGCAAGGAGATGGCCTTAAGTAGCACTTAAGTAGCACTGTATGGAGCACATTCGAAAGGATATCGCATACCTTTTCGATGGCAAGTAGGCACAACGGTTCACCGCGTCCGAAAATATTATTCCGCGTTGCGAATATGCTGACGCGAGTGCATATACTTTGCCGGATCCGCTCGGGCAGATTACATTGCGCGGCGAGCACGAAGCATGCGTGCCGCGCGCGCGCGACGAAATAACGGGCTCTGCCTGATAATCGGCCGCTTGCATCACAATTCGCGAATTGTGCCGATCGATGACTATGCAAGCGACGCCGCTTTATCGAGTCCTCGGGGTCATTTGGTCAGACGCGCGAATCGGTGTTTTCGAACGGTCACAACATGTGCGACGCAAAAATCACGTGTAAACCCAATTAATCGCATTCATCCCGCGGCGCCAGTGTTCGTAAGCACGACGTCCGTAATTACGCAAGCTCTTTGACGCGATCGCGAGCTCTTAATTCACCGATATGTGCGGCTGCTGACGAAGTATTATGAAATTATGAAGGAAATGCGCGTACTGCATCGTCGTATCGGTGCGATTAATATTTCGCGTGTAGTAATTAGCCAATCGAGGTCACGCACTGGCTGTGTGCGCGACTGACGCGATGAGAGACAAAAGAGATGAAAGCGGCTGGATGTGGAAACGATTTGTTCTACGATTCGCCTCGTGAACTATGGCCGGTATTCATAGTCGGATTTTATTTTTAAGGCTGGCTTAAGTTCATCTTCAGATACTCCGTAGCCAATGAAATGATCCGTTCATCATCTGAAGATAAACTTAAGACGATCTTAAATATAAGATTTGACTATGAATACCGGCCTATATCTCGCTTGGTCAAATATCGTTCGTTTGTCGCCGAGTTTCTCACCTCACTCAGCTGTGTGCCGTTTTCACGAGACGTGACGAATGGCCATTCTTGTTGTCAGGACGGTGGTCTTTGGATTTTCCGGCCGTTATTGTCGATAGGACAATGACCTTTGGATTTGCCGGCTAGCTATTTTTTTCCCACGATGATTTTTCCTCGGTGGCACTCCGTTTTGAGATCGAGCCTCTCGCCGCGATACACCTGCGCCTCCGTCGTCGACCCTGTCGACTTGTCGCTGATGGTCGTTCTGCTCACTCACGGATACTTAAAGTTCAGAATTTAATTAATCAGTCACGAAGCCGCCGCGAGTTAATCGATTAATGTATAATAGGACAAGACATGTACCACTCTTGCGCCTGAGTTATTGCGCTTCTTCGCGCGGCTGTAATCTCGCCACAATAATGCTTACACACGTTTTCGCTAACGTACGGCACGATTTCGACGAAATTCGATATAAATTTCAACTCGACACGGATGTATGATTCACGGGATGTGTGATTAACGCATCGACGATCCCGATGAGACTTTGTACCTTACCTTTGTACTAACCTCCGATGTGAACCCGAAAACGGATCAGAACGCGAACAACGCGGCCGGCCAGAAGTGACTCGTGCTTATGATCGCAGCACGCGTCGCGTATGTTGCTCTTAACACACACCAGATTGATTAGCGAGCCAAGATCTTGGCGAAGAGGTCACTTCAACGATCATGACGCGTGAGATGTAAACTATCCGTACAGAAAATACCTTGGGATCTAATCGGAATCCGACAATAATCCTACAATAATCGTAGGTTCTAGGTAGGAAATCTCAGGTTCTAGAAGTGTTTTAAATGTCTTGAATATGCGAATTAAGCATTTATGTTATGACGTCTTAAAGATTTTAAGAAGTCTTAAAGCCTTACAGATAGGATAAATCTTAATGAATCAACCAGCTTTATATCTTTTGAGGCAAATTATTGACTAAGCGTTTAATCACGTTAGAATATTTTATAACACACATATCTTAAAGATGTTTTTTTTTATTGTGTCAAAGTGTTTGTTAAAAATCATTATGAAGAAATTGCAGTAAAAGGCGTTCGAAAGCTAAGAAAGTGAAAAATATATATAAATATCCAAGATAAATTCCTCTCCGACTTATAAATGTGTGAAATCGTCAAATTATTTTCAGATACACAAATATCATATCTATTATATCACATATTATATATTTTATATCACATGTAAAAATCTTATTTTACGTTTTAATATGAAACAATGTAAGTCAGAGAAGACATTGTGTTTACTGCATCAATGAAACGGATGCAGAAAACACTTAAACAAGCTTGTGTTTTCTTAATTTCTGTTTCGATTCTAAACAGAGAACTTATGTTTGAGTTTGGGACAAGATGAGGATTCCCAATTAGTATCGTAGTGAGACGAGTGGTCACTTTCAGAATTTTCCCAAAGATTTTTTTGGTCTACATTTTAAACTAAAATTGAGCAGAATATGCGGAACACTTTGAATATTTATTCGTTATTAGCATATATATATATATATATATATATATATATATGCACATATACTTATAAAGTGTAAATATTCAAAGTGTGGATCTCAAAGTAATTAAAAATAAATACTCAATGAATCTATTTTGGGAATGCCTAAGTGTTAGGCATTCTGATTAGAATCTAAGCTGCATTTGAGAAAAGAAATCTCTATACGGATACGTTTCTGAATGGCAGTTGAATTTTCGCGCCGCTTGCGTGCAAAACCGACGTCTGACCCATTTGAGCGTATTTATTCGTCCGGTACGGTGCGTACTTGTCCAAATAAGGGGAACCGCATTCGGACAAACGATATCTGAGTACCTGAGCCGGTGGCAGAGTATGCACGCATCCCCGCCATACCTGGCGAAAACGGCGCTCTCTTTTCTTCCTGCGACTCTCTGTGTCTTTTGCACGGGAGAGAAGGTGGATTAAAACTTGCCGCACTGCAAAACCGTGACGCATTATTCCGGACGCCAGACGTATTAGCGTTTAAGCTTTAATTACCGAACGGCGGAATGAAGGTTTTACGGAAATCTTTAATGGTACACAAGCGCCTTGTCATATTTGGGTCAATTGGCTTTCTTCTCTCCACTAGCGCATAGGATAGTTTTGCAGAATTAGCTGAAACAAAGTGGCAATTACGTCCAGGTAGACGAAAGATCGCTGACCATTTGCCATCTGTCGCCACCCGCGTGGATTCGATTTAATTGTCGTCATTATCGCGACGTCCTATTACGTATCATTATTTCGGCTAAGCTGGAAATCACTATTTTCAACAGGCGATGCTCACATGTCTTCACTAAAGAATATATATATATATATATATATATATATATATATATATATATATATATATATGTATATAATTTATGAGATATCAAAATTATTAGCAAACAGATGATTAAGGCGAGAAACTGACGAAGTAAAGGTATATCTTTCGAGTGCAAGCGAAACTTTGAACAGCGAGATTACTGCTCATCTGATTCGACGATTTGTATATTTCGGCGTAGAACTTTAATCTTGAGTCTCTCGAATGCTGTCTTATCGTTATCCGCCCGGCATGTAATAAGACAAACACTCGAGAGCGGCTTTGTCGAATGACACGGCTCTATTCTCCTCAGAAACTTTCAGATACCGGGGACAAGCCCGATATATTTTGAAAACGTGACCGATATCGCGAGCTTGTCGTGTAAATGACCTGAGGATCATTAGTGGCTTGCGGCGTCACCTTGTCAGAATCTGCTACAAAGTCCAGACCATGAGATCACATTTTTCCAGCAATTCGTTAAATACATAAAACCATAAATATATGAAAATGTAAGTGCCAATCCAAAGGCCGGCGTGAGCGAGCTCACGTTTTTCACATTTTCTCAACAATTCGATAAATATGCGAAATCCAACATGAATGCCAATTCAAAGTTCAGAATGTGTAAGCTCAAGTGAGCGTTCTTCACATTTGTCCAACAATTTGATAAATATGATTTGATAAATAACAATATGACGATAATAAATTCTGACGCAGCGTCGGGCGTTAATCGATGAAAATTTCTCCTCGACCAAACTAATCGGCTAATCTCAACAATCAAAATTAATCAGTTGTTATACATGTCACGAATAATTTAATCGAACGAGATGAAATTAATTGTTAATTGAGTTTGATCATTTAGTATGACCACTTGCGTTAGAGTTTGATTAATAATTGATTTCATCGGTGTCGATGATATTGTTTGCGACTTTGCACCTGAAGATTAATTAATTTTGGTCATTGATTGGCTGATTATTATTTTAGCCGGAGGGTATTGTCATCTCAAACAATGGCCAACGTTGTTTCAACGTAATTGTTTATGAAATGCGGTCATGATGCGCGTTTATGCATGCTTCCACGCTACGAGATGCAACGCGTGAACGATCGACGAAAATTTCAGCAGCTGAATCGCTCAAGGGAAATCAATTCGCGGTCCGGGCGGGTTGGCTTTTTTGCACGCGGCAGACGGGATCGTTTTCGTCGCGCCTTCAGGCGAGCGTAACACGTTCGTTTCAGTTTACTGTCAGTCTGCGGCAAATGGCGATTCGCTTAGGCTCGCCAAAACTCGAGTCGTTTTCTACATACGTCGAGATTCTCACGGAATTAGCAGTTCGCGAAAGAGAACGACGTCAGCATAAGAATCTTATAAAAATAGTGTAATGGGAATTGTACGGAATGCACGTCAAAGTGACGATCTCTCCTTCCCAAGGAGCGCGTCGATTCGCATTGTCGTATCTTTTGATTTATTTTTTCCTTGAAATCACGTTTTCGCGCGCGTGCGCGCGCACACACACATTCACACAGCGTGCATTTGCCTCTCCTCTGATCAAATTGCTCTTTTATCAACGGTAACCTGATAAAACTAGACTCTTCTAACAGCGGCTGTAGCGCGCCTTCTTCTCTTTTACCTTAACATACATTGTTTCTCGATCGCGAAGACCTTCGATCCAAAATTAAAACATGACTGCGCGCGGCCAATGCTATTCTGCAAGTGACTTTCCGCTTGCCGATAGTTGTGTAATTAATTGCATTAACGCACGTTTATTGGATTTATCTCTCCGATAATAATCGCGTAACATAGCGCGGCTCTCAATCTTCCGTACTTCGGTAAACCTCGGACGCGCGTCGTTTCGGTGCAACGCGAATGTACTCGAAATGCGTATTCGTGTGCGCGTCGGAGATGACGTTTCCTCCTCGGTCATTGATCCAGAACAGAGAGAACGTAACGATTCTCTCCTCGCGACTGCTCGATTCAGCGCGGGCCAATGAAATGGGATATCGATACCGCGAAGAGACGCGCGCTCGCGATTATCGTCACGACTCCGTCGCAGCACCACGAAGGACTCTGCACGCGCCTCCAGATAATCGCGTGACCTTCGCGATCTTCGGGATGTATCGTGGTCAAGCTCGCGTCTTTCGCACGGCCGTTCGCGGCGGGGCGCAGAGCGCGAGGATTAAACGGGCGCGGCTTTCTTCGCTCGATCGTGAATCGGCACGCGCTAATTCGTTACGTCGGCCGATATCGCGTCGACTTATTTCATCTGGGAAAACCTGTTCTCGAATCAACCGGGAGAGAACTCCATCACTCTTTCGTTGACGGATCTCAGACTAAGCTTCGTCGATCACCGGCCGTCAAATCCGGGTGATACAGTTCTTACGGGGAAAACTTTTTTTTCTTCCTTTTTCAAGTTATAGATCTGAGCGAAAGGATTTTCAATCTCTCGCGCGGCGAGAAGAAGCCTCGAGAAAACCGAATGTCAATGAGCGGAGCAATGAAATAATCGTCCGATCTCGGGGCGATTGGTGGCGACGGTGGCGTGTAAATCGAACGAAAAGAGGTGGAGACGAAAATCAGTCGTAATCCACTTCGCCAACCATGGAAGAAGAAGAAGAAGGACAGACAATGAGGAGGCAATGCACCGAGTCCATACCCTTTATGTGACCGTTCGTAAGAGAGGTGAACAACCGCGGGACAGACTTCTCCGAAGAAAATCGCCATGTTCCCCTCTCTCTCTCTCTCTCTCTCTCTCTCTCTCTCTCTCTCTCAGCACCCCTGCCGCGGATCCCCTTTCTATTTTGCCTGATCGAACGTGCGAGCGTACTAAAACGACATCCTGGAATATTAGAAATGCATCGCGGTGTCATATCATGTCACATCACGCGCGCGAAGAGAAGGGAAGGGAAGAGAAGATAAGAGGAGAGAAGAGAGCGAGGCGACGGCGGCGGCGGAAATGACTCGAGGAGTCCGATTTCTCGATAGAGACGAAGAGGAGGAAAAGGACGAAGCAGAGGAGGAGAGGACGCGCGGCAGAGCGACTACGAGGACGAGGAAAGGGACACAGACGAAGAAACGCGGTCTACGCTCTGTCTGTGATCGGCGGCAGAGGTGAACGACCGTCCATGTGGAGGACGTGCTGCTGCTATTGCTGCTATTGCTGCTATTGCTGCTGCTCCCTTCCCGTCGAAAGAGCGCCGCGCGCGGACGAGCACGAGGCGCTGCCGCGATCGTGAATGCGCGCGAGGAACCGATCACGTCGTAAGTGCGATTCGCGGCATGCTAAATCGCCGGTGGCGTGAGGTATGCGAGAGGACTGCCGGATTTCGCGCGATGGAAATCGGGGAGAGCCTGGCGACCCGTGCGAGGCGACGCGACACCGTACACCCTGATTTGATTGGGTCGAGAGCGCGGCTGCACGGCGAAAAGTAACACTCTGCTGTTGAGAGAAGGGATTACTTGCTCGGTTTACTTTCCTTCTTTTAACTAACGGTTATTTCCAGCAAAGAATATAAATGGTTGTCTCAAAATACTCGTCACTAGTCTTAGAGAAGCTCGTCATCGTGCATTCAGGAGGAGAATTTGTTCTGCTTGCAAGAACGTATCATAAAATTTGTGGAAGAAAAACTTGGCTCAAGTCTGACTAATTCGTGTGTTAACTTGATATCCTTGATTGAACTGCAACATCTATCTAGAATTCAGAAACGTATTTTGAGTAAATTTGATGCGCGGATATGTAAACTTATGAAATACTTCAAGCAAGCAACACTTACTCGAGTGCAGTGTATAATTTTCTGTGTGCATATTGACGGCGAAAATTCAGTACATGGGGAGAATTTTATAGTAAAAATAACTACAGAATTTTGTGGCCAAGAAACAGATGGCTGTGCTGCAATAATTGATAATTTTGTGCTACGCATATCTTAGGACCTGAAGTGTACTATTGAAAAATTTGCTACACGAGACATATCGTGTTCCTTAGCAAGATATACCTCGTTAAGAGTCTATTTCTGCATTGCTGGAAACGTAGTAAAATTGCGAATGGTTCGTACGAAAGAAAAACCATGATATTCCCTCCGTGTGGATACTGTGGAAAACCAAACGTGACACTACAACATTATATAGTCCACGCTACACACGGTAAAAAATATTATGGTTGCTATATCTACGTACTCTATGATTAGAGAGAAAATTTATGCGATTTCAAGTGAAATAGATACGGCATTAAAAATTGCTGTTATTATATGTCCATCTATACAGTTCTCACAACCATAGTTCTCATGATATATAATGTTCAGTCAGTACATTCTCATATATACATAGTTGCCTCAACCAAAGAAATATTGCTGTCTCCCAGTCTGTGGAACAAATACTAAGAGAGATCCGTAGAGTTTGTTTGCACCATACAGCACTGAGAGTACTACTGAAACACATATGGATAAGGAAGGTTAATGTACCACTTCCAAAGTACTATGGATAATGCAATCATCTTGTACGCGAAAGGTAACATTAATATTTTGTTATGGCAACCATTATTTAGGTAAGTAATTTGTGTCTTCTCTGTGCGATAATAATATCGTATACTTCGCAACTTTGCGAACGCAAAAACTCGCGCGTTGTGCGCGACAGTCCGCCTCATCGCAGATCCCGCGCGCACGCACTTCAAAGTATCGGGTTGATTGAGTAACAAGCATTACGTCTCTTTGACTTTTCGGCTCATTAATCTGTACACATCTGCGGGCCACATCTCGGCCTGGAATACGATTCTTTCGCCCGTCGGTCATTGGCCCCTTCGCGGAGCGAGCCGATATTCGAACTGCGTGCGTTACCAATTGATGAAAATTATTTTCGTGAGTTACGATTGATCGTAATAATGGCGGGGATCGGTAGGAGAGCCCCGCCGCCCCGTCATGATAACCGATCACTGGCCGCGGTCAAAATTCCAAGTGAGGCGTGCCTGAAGGAGCAGAGACGAGAAGACACCCGCAAGAAGACCGGCCGTAATTGACTCTTTGCGACTTATTACGTATGCAGGAAAAAAGGGGCCGATACGAGTAGGTTAATCACTCTCCCTCTCCTCCCCCTCCTCTTCCCCCCTGGCGCAGCGTGCATTCCTGAGGCCCCGCTCTAACAAATGCTAATCCGTCAATAGAGATTTACATAGTCGCGCTCCTCGCGCAACAATGGCACATTCTATCGCGCGCCTTTGCCGTTACGCGCATCGCGCATTAGATGCACTCACACATACGTACACACACACGCGCGCGCGCGCGCGCGATGTGCGCAGCAGGTCCATCATTCCTCGCACGTACCAATAAGTGCATCAACATTCTTCTTCCTTAACGAATTCTCGCGCCGGCGATCGGCTTAACCGGCGCTCCATGTACCAATAGGTTTCGCCGAGATACACGTAGCGGACGCTTTCTGGTCACGTATATGTCATGTAACAGCGCCTCGGTCGCTGACCTCCCGATTAATTTAGATGTTAATTGACACTCCCGCTAGAGAGTCGCGAACTGTTTGCTCGGGGGATGTCCCCTCCCCCTCCCCTTACCCTCTTCCGAGATGATGACGCTCGTTATGACGCGTGAGAGGACCCGTGCGATAATAATGTATCGAGAATAATGCTCTCGCACGAAGAGGATGTTATAGATTTTTCCTTGTTTTTTTGTTTTTTTTTTTCTTATAAATTCTTTTCCGTTTCACCATGTTTCCAGTGGTACACGAATCAGACTATCAGTCTATCTGAGGAACATAGTAAATTTCACTGGAAACATTGCAAATTTTTTTAATGGCAGATTTCATTTCCTAAAACATAAATGGCATATATGGAACTGTCGATCTGTTCCTTTTATGGTCACAAAATTCTATAGCGATTCTTACTCACTGAAATTCTCTCCGTGTAACTTTCTCGCCTCTGCGAGATAACGCGGCGCGAAGAAAATCTCCATTATTAATCCATTATATATGAATAATTCATTATAAATCCATTAGGATTATTTCCCAATCAATTGGTTAATAATTTTCACGATTAGCTGGCTGATTAATCCGTCAAAATCCCTGATGTGTTAATTAGCCACGAGAAAATCCGGTCAATCCAACCGGCCACCCGTGGACCAACGCGACCGATGAGAATCCTGCTGGATCATTTCCTGATTTTCTCGTGCACGACGACGATGTCGGCGTTGGCCCGCAACAGTGTTAGTAGTAGCACCTGGCAAGAGGAGAGGCAGCGCGATTAGAGCGGCACTATTACGCGTTCCATACGACGTACGGTGTGCAGTAGAAGGTGGTGCCGCGCGGAGAAGAGGAGGCGGGACACATCTGGAATGTGTGTAAGGTAAGCGGCATCCGGGCAATGCCCTCGCATGTAAACAATCAGAAATTGCAGCCCTGGTTTCAGCAAGTAAGCGGGCTCCGTTCACGTGTGTCGTATTTACGCTTATGTACGTTCGATTGGCAATCACTGCTGTTGTGTGTGTGTGTGTGTGTGTGTGTGTTGTAATTCGCACATGCATACCAGACCGCTCATTTATCCGTGCTGTCGCGTTACTTGGTTTGGGTACCACTGCTGGATCGCGCGGGCTTCTAATTGAAAATTGCAGCGTCCGTTCGCCGTGCCAACAGATACAGTAATTATTGATGTTGCTAACGAAATTGTGTGTGTACTGAGCACGATCGAGCGTTCAAATAACAGTACATGGCTCGCCTATCGAATTATTGATCGCAACGCTGAAATCGATAATTGATCGTAACAATGGTTTCGCTTCTTAACGCGATACAATTCTCGTGCCACGTGTACAACGGGCGTGTCTACTTCTTGCATTATTTTGTAATATCATTTGAAATTATGATGATCGCATATAGCGTACAAGAAAAATGTCGGACACGTCACGTATCACGGAGCGTCGCAACATACTTGCCAATGGCTGAATGCATCGGTTGGCAGGAAGAAGACAGAGAGAGAGAGAGAGAGGGAGAGATCTATCGCAAAAAAATTGCGCGGATGCTTACATGCAAAGCGCACGGTTATGCTTAAACGAGCGTTTAACCCAGAGCCGAAAGATTTACTACCTCTCATTCGCGGGAGCTCTAGTTCTCGGAGAGTCTCGCGCACTAAGGACCTTCGGTCGTTGAACTGCGAACGCTCGATTTGACGACGGATGAAAAGTGTTCGCGATTCCTCCGATTGCGATTCCTCCGTGCAAAACGGCTCAAATTACTTTACAACCAGAATTATTTCTATAAACGTTTTTTTCAGTTACATTCAAAACATCACCAAAATTAGATTTCTTTAGATTCTACAACGGAGAATGCAGCAAAAATTATAGGGTTGCTGACCTGGAGTTAGGAAAGCCAGAAAAAGCCATGGAATTTAAATTTGTCATGGGAAACCGGATATATCAGGGAAAAATATAACCTGGAATTTTGACCTTTCTTTACAATTCTTTGAAATTAAGGTAACCCTGCCTGGGTTATAAGAGAAGAATACACGGTTTTTAGATCTTTACTAAATCTAGGGTCATTAGGGACTTTATTAAAATGCCAAGTTTATTTTATTTTAGTTTTAACGTTAAAAGTTTATAGGTATATTATAGGAATTCAAATGTTATTTAAAAAATAAATAAGATTTTCTTAGTTTATATTGAATATGTATACATCTATTAGTCCATGCATCATGATATTAACAAAATAATTAAAATTTATATTTTACTCAGCGGTTTTTCATTCAATCATCCTTTTCCGTCTCATATCTACATTATTTTCCAATACTCATATAATTTTTGTTAGCCTGAATATGCATTTTCAGAAATATATGTTAGGAATATTATGTTACTAAATTTTTATTGTATTTAATAATATAAACTACTTTTGTAATCCCAGTTTCTAAACATTAAAATTGAAGATTATATGTTGATCATGGAGAATTCTCCATTGTCGTCTGGAAAACATGAAAAAGTTAGGGAATTTCAAAATTGATTTTCTGTAGCAATCCTAAATTACTATATAATTTCGCAACTGCGGAATAAATCGACATTCTGCAGTTTGCAATTGACTGTCCTTCCATCTCCTATTTATATTTCGCGCTATTTATATTTCGAGAACTGCAGAATGCTATTAAAAAAAGTTGCTATGTCTCTGGAGAGATTTATTGTGTTCCTCAGTCAGACAGAATAAACCTACGGTTTATTCCTGCACTGCTAGAAACGTGGTTTGTAAAATCGACAAGAACTTATATGAATGGAGAGAAGAAAGTGTAATTATTCTCTCCTTGTTTCATTCGTGATCTTCGTCGCGGCGCAAATTTGTTTACGCGGTCTCGCCAAATTTAGCAACGCTCGCCGGGCATTATCACTGCGTCTCGTCTCACCTCCAACTGATCTCACGCAAAAGTCGCAGACTGCATCCCCGCCGGCAGCGAGCCACGCGTATGTGGGTCAGAGTGGGACTCGGTAAATGTACCGGTACCCCGCCATGGTACACACAATAATCGCACCGTATGCTTAAACGCTTGACACTGTCGACTTAAATCGGCCCACGCACAGGCACGCCCTTTCATAATCGCCTCTGTATAATTTCGAGATGCGTGTTTAACGGGAACGACCTCCATGTCGCCGTTGGAGAGGACTTCCGCGGACGTAGCGGAGAGACCTCGGTGGAGACCTCGAGCAAGGATTCCCAACGAGAGCCTCCCGACCAGGTATCGGCCTCTAACGGCTAATAACGGGCTCAGGTAGTTTTGGGAAGTCCGTTATTCCTCCGGTGTTATTGGCTCTCGGAGGATCGTACGTTAGAAACCGGGTCGACTCTCGCTGATAACCTCGTTCCGCGCTACCATCGCGCTCAAATCGTGCATTGATAATGACAGTCTCTGCATAAATAATTTGGGAATCGCGCGCTTAAATCCGACAAGGAGAAACGATCGACTCCAATTTGTTCGGATCCGCGCGCATAATATGAAGCGCCTCCTATACGCGCCTGCATCCGGATCGAATCGCCGTGACTCACAAAGCTGAACAGTTTGTCGAGGGGAACGTAAAAGTGAAGCCATAATTGCGACAGATTAAGCACTTATCGCTCACGAGATGCTTTTGGTCGATGAGCTGTCGGTATCGTCGGAGGTATCGGCTATTACTCCGGTATCGGTATCTGAAAAACTATCGTTATCTGCACACCGAAAGAATTTGCATTCCTGGTACAAGTTGGCTTGTTTGTTCGCGCGTGTGCGAAGTTCTCTTAGTCCCGTTCAATGTACGATAATGTAGATCAGTTTATCAACTTTGACGGGAAAGGTGAACGACTCCTCGATAATTCCCCGATAGGAATTCAAATCGCTAATTGAATAAGGAGGTAGAGAGCCGCTTATCGTTCACTCTCTCGCCGAAATCTTGATACTATCAGCCAACTCGAGCGTGCAAGACACTTATCGGGAAGGGTCACATTCGCCGAAATCTTGATGTTATCAGCACGATCGCGATAACACCGGTCGTTATCGAGTCGTTGATTCGTGCGAAATATATTTACATACATACATCTTGATACATTCGGCTTATCGGACAAATTTCGCGAGGTTATCGCGCACACCTTCTCGTCCGCCATGCAACACACACATACACGTACACACACACACATACACACGTGCCAATACACGCAACACGTACACACACGAGCACTTCCAATTGAGAACGCAATACTCGCGATAATCCGATAACCGAAATTATTTTTTCGCATACGTGGTGTAACGAAATATAAAGCAATAAACGATTTATCGACCACTTGAAAGTGTAAGCTTCGATGATATTGGCTGCACTGTGTTGTTACACAATATCGGAGTGACATTGATATCCAAGTTATCGTACATTGCACTCCATCGCAGGCAGCAGATATTGCAGCACCCAATAATCGCCGAATGCGATTGAATGGAGAAATTTAAAAGGAACGCCGCGATAAGAGTAACGCCCGATAAGCGAAACATGCGAGCGTGATCATGTGAGAGAAACAGAGAGAGAGAGAGAGGGAGAGAGAGAGAGAGAGAGAGAGAGAGCGCTGCGTCCTCGGGAGGCAAAAGAAACCAATCAAAGTAGATTCGATTAAAACAGAATCGATAGGCCGAAAATTTATTGCCGAAATATTATCGAGCCTCACGAGCGGCCGCCTCCCCCCCCCCCCTTTCCCCGATAAATGCGCACATGATTTTCACAATCTGGACTTAACTTTAATTAAATATTGCGTAGAATCGAAACATGCGCGATGCGTTTGCAAGCCCGATGAATAATCTGTATCGCGTTGCTGGGCGCGATCGGCGCGCGCGAGGGTGCAAGGGGGGGTTAATGTTCCGACGCGCACCTTATCGTCGAAATTTTGGCAAAACACTCGTTGCGTACGCGACTGATTGCCCGGTCGCGGTGCAGCGTCCTTTTCGACGCGGAGAGAGAGCAACGGACGATAACTCGACTAGCCTTCGAATTTTATTTCGAGTTGAACGACACTTCGTCTCTCGTTTGCATCCCGAGGTGAAAAAAAAAAAACGAAACAGAAAAAATGTTGCTGAGTTTCTTTATCCTGCGATTTCTCGGCCTTAACCTCTGCTGATGTATGTCAAGCGGCACACCGAGACGCGTTCAAGGGGAAATTTCGCAGAAACTGGCCAACAAGATCGTCTCACAATCGCGCTGTTTGTCAAAGCGTTGCCGACAGTCTCTAAATGAAAATATGTGAGACACATTGCTGTGCCGTGTCCCGAGTACTAGAAATACGTCGCGCCCCAATGGCGGCTATTGTATTCACGTGTCGCGCAGTCGAAATTTGTTGTCTTGTCATTTTTTTTTCTTTTCTTTCTTTTGGTTTTCGTTCGTTTTGGCAGCATTTACAATGCAGATCGGCTGGAAGAGACACAGACGTGAACAACAACTTATACTTTCTATCAGAGAATCGTAAACACACGGGAAATAATAGATACTAGCTTATTGGCAGGTCGAGGAATCTCTCGGTTTAATAATCGATCGACTCGTGCGAGAAAAGAAAAAAAAAGAAAACAAATAAATCAGTCACACGACACGTACGCGTACGCGCGCACACACACACATACACACGCATACACGCAGGGCCCTGTGATCAAGGCCACTGCGTTCAATGATCCTTCTGCGAAATGAATTAGCGAACGGCTCGACCATCGACTTGACGTCAACTACACAGCGTCGTTCTTTACGTGTTTGGTACACGTGTCCGTCATTTGCGATCACACGCTCTAGCTAGGCAAATGTCTCTCGTCTATCTTATCGTCTGACTATCTGACTGCCTAAACTTATGATTAGTTGGCATGCGAGTCTCGATGAAAAG